GCTTTTGGCATCTATATATATACACAAAGTAACCAACTGTTGTTGAATGATGAACAAAAAGAAAGATAATAAAACATGCAAACATATTCATTGTGTTATCCTCGCTCATTCGGGAATTATATGTATATGAAATTAAATCTTTAAATTACTTACATATCAAAAGATAGACGTTTAAATTCATTTGTATATAAATTTATATACGCAATACGAAATTGAGTTAAGATGTAAATTAAAGATCAATATAATTTCTTTCCAAAAAATAAGTTAAAAGATAGGCAATTATAAGTGATTAATTGAACAGCTTCTGTCATCTAGGTAAATTTTATATATCGAAATTTGCTTAAGATTTTCAGAAGACAACATTGTTTTCTACAAGTTTTAATTGAACTATATTTAGTTATATATTTAAAGGTGTCTTGATAACATTTCAAGATGGGAAAAGAATGTTCATTATTGTAAATACTGTAATCGAAGTAATACAAGGTTATTATATATTTTTGCAGACATTAGATAAAAACTTATGATGTCTGTACAATTGTATAATTATGGTAGAAAACAAAAAAGAAAATAATATTCTGATGAAGAATGAACAAGTATTTTTGTTTTAACGGTATTAATTAGATTAACTATTAATCACATTAAAAGAAAATAGGAAAATGAGATTTATTTATTGTCTTTTTTCTTTGTTATTTTTCGATTCATTTGTTGATAATTTTTTTTTTTGTTTGATATATATAAACTCTCTTTCTATTCATAATAAACAAGATAAATATTAAAATGACAGAGAATGTGTTAAAATAAATACTGTAAATGATGTGTTCATATCATTGTGCTATCTATATAGAATAATTGAAGGAGAATATAAATGACAAAAGCAATTATGGCAAAATTTGTGATGAGCCAATTATTTAATCATATGGGTATGACAAAAATAAGATGTTAATTCAGGTGAATGTGATAAGCAATTATTTTATTTTCTGTTAACAAAAACATATCATTTTATTTAGTATAACTGTATTATTCAATAGTTAATAGTGAACATTATGCATTATTGATACTTGACTTCATAGGGTTGAAAGAATGAGTGTTTGAAATATATACAAGGATTAGTTTTTGTATCTTTAAAGTACTAAGAATTAATCCAGATCTCTCAACTTTTGTACAATATTGAGAGGAAAATGAATAAAGTAGATCGTTCACACTTTCCATAGTCTATTCAATATAAATGCCAAAAGCATTGACCTTTCATCTTCTATTCTTCTCTCTCTATTTATATATGAAAGTAACCCAAAATCTAAAGTAGAATGAGATTTACGAAAAAAACTCTTCTGTTTTCTTTCTCTCTCTCTCTCCCACTTTTTCTCTTTCTTTATTCTTTATTGCTCATAAAACATAAAATAAAAGCCTTTTAGTGGAAAGAAAGTTAGTTCTTTCTTCTCTCTTTACGTCACTATCAACTGCACATTTTTTATCAAACGTCACTAATAATATCCTTTAACTTATTTAATGTGTTTTCCAGATGATGTTATTATACGTAACGTTCATAGGAACGGGAATCAAATTATATAATTCGACAAAAGTAAGTGTATTTTCGTTTTTCAAACTAACAGCAAAACTCGAATTATAAAATCCAATTTAGTGCATTTCAAAAATTAGAACAATGATGTGCATTATTCTCTCGAGACTTCATACAATGAGTCTTCATCCGAGGAAAACGAGCATGATTTCTTCTGAACACTCCCTTAGAATTATGATTAACAGTTAACTCTCAGTATAATGTGAACTTACATCGTTGTCACAACTTTTGAACCGAGAAGTTCACTTTTCTTTCAGCTTTTCACCTAGTCAGAGTCTCTAAAATTCACCAATGTTCCCGAAAATACTTCTTAACTGAGACAATTTGGTTCAAGTGCACTACAGAATGAACACCATTGGTTTGAGGAATCATTACGGATGCAATAAAAAGCTATTGAAACCTCAGATAGACGATATTACTATCTACCCTCTATCCTGGAAAAAATATCGATACTACACAATGCTGCTTTTTATTAAGAAATATCTTTTGAGAAAGTGTGTGAGTTTAATTACAAAATACCTATTTTGTAGTATATACCTTTTTGTTTTCTAGGTATCTGAAATATTTTCTTTCAGAAACAGATAACATACATCATCAGATAATCAATTATTTCAAAAAGTGTTTTTTTTCGTAATACTTTGTAAAGAATCTTAATACTCAACATGGTTCTATTATATTCTTCATTTCTTTTGTCGTTGAACAATTCTCAATGAGATTAATTCCTTCATTATAATAGGACTTAATAATCGACTTAGAATAACCTCATCTATGCAATGTTTTTTTAGTTTTCTTGTTTTTATCTTCAAAAAAAATATATTTCCTTTAGAAGGCATCTATTGATGAGTATGTGCTTATAGTACAAGACAATGGTATTAGTACTTAGTTAATTAGATTGAACATTTTTCTTTGAGGCTAGAAAAGTCGCTAAAGATAGTTTTGAAAATATTCGAATTTTTTCATCTCTCTGTTATCAGTGAATATACTCTAGTCTCTTGACAACTTTTTAGTCCTCGGGTAATCGATGCAGTACTATAATGTGTTTTCAGAACCTAATTTTAGGAACATAATGTGCATAACTTTTATGTTAGAAAATTTTCCCTAGAGAATAACTTGTTTTCACACGTCAAAATTTCGAAATCAAACGAATTTAAAGATAGAATATTGCAACACGCTTCATGATTTATAATTATCGAGAAGTAATCTTAACTACTTTAAATGAGTCCACTGTTCTCTAAAAATATGTGAACATCTCGAAATGCCATGGAATATAGGTAATCGACTACACTGAGCATAGTGGCAACATTTGATTTTGTGTAGGAATGAAAATAATTTCGCCAGCGGCATTTTAGTGAAAAATCGCCTGTTACTAGCAAAAATTAAAATCTTTATATCTCGGTCAAATCTCATGCTGACTCAACGAAATTTTCAGGAAACGCTCAGGACAGCTCATAAATCACAATCGAAGATGAAAAATGAATTTCAGCTGGGCATCGGTTTAACCCTTTCCAGCCTGATGTTGCCATTTGGCAACACTTTTTGCTGTGTTTTCGAAACAGCCGGCTGGAAAGGATTAAGGTTTTCCAGAAACCTTCTGAAAAATCTCATGGCGTCAGTGTTCTGTTGGACCACTTTTTCGGCTTGATCAACAATATATGACGCCTTTTAAGTCTTTCCTGAAAATTTCGTTGAGTCAGCATGAGATTTGACCGAGATATAAGGATTTTAATTTTTGCTAGTAACAGGCGATTCTTCACTAAAATGCCGCTGGGGAAGTTATTTTCATTCCTACACAAAATCAAATGTTGCCACTATGCTCAGTGTAGTCGATTACCTATATTCCATGGCATTTCGAGATTCCCAGAGATGTCTGCTGGGAGATAAACACGTGCTCGGGGAAAGCGAGCCCTGTCCGAACGACGATAGCTAGAGAGTTGAGACTTGTATAATTCTGTAGAGTAACGTCCGGACTATCTACGCATGCAAAAAAAGTACTAACGCTGTATGATGGTTTTCTGAGAACAGAACTAGTTTTTCAACGATCCTCTGGAAAATCGACCTTCCGGAAAATTTTGAAACAAGTTTCTGGTTACAAAAACATGTCTTAAGGTCTTCACAACATGATGGTGAAAACCGCACGTCTCTATCTCATTTCTATCGAAAGATATTCAAAAAACATCCGTATGTCTTGACTTCTGGTGGCAATAATAAGTAATAAATAATATAACTTAAAAAAGGGTTTATTATGCAGTTTTGTTACGAATCTATGTGGATACCATAGAGTGCGGTGCAAAATTAAAGAAACGATTTGTTTTGCTTTGCTCGATCGTAATAATCAGAATTTATCCGAAAAGTGATTTCAATAGCTGAAAGAGTTTTCAAGCAAGAGTAATGTGTATACAAGTTGCATTCAGATTTACTGATTGAGATCTCTAGAAAAACAGAACTCTAGAAATTCAAGTCCCTGGTTCAATGGAAAACCTTTTACACATCACACAGTCATATAGGACAAACTTTTGTGGAGAAAATGAGACGTCTGCGAGCTCTTCAAGACATTCTCACGTTGCCCTTTACGACAGCTGATCATGTAAAGCGAACTTCAAACTCGTATACCTCTGTTTAGAGTTGACGAAAATGTTTTTATTATTAGCAATCGCTAGGTTATAGTATCAACTTACACTGGAAACAAATCCGTTTTATGATCCGCCTAGGCTTCCGAATTGAGACCACTTTTTCTTTCTACAGAAATTCTCATTTCCAAATTCAGACCACTTTTTTAAACCAATTAATAATTTTTAACTAAAAAGTGGTCTCAATTCGGAAAGAGCTGATCCGACGCATTATCACCTTGCTATGGCGATTCTACGATATCCACTAACGTCCATCCTAGTAGACATTGGGTCTGACAAGATTAAACTGCATTCATTATACGGAAGAATCTAGCACATCAAAATATATCCTTGCTTGTTGAGACAGGCCGACGGATTTTGGAACTGTTTAAAATTGAAATTGAAAATTCGAGCTCAAGAGGACTGGAAATCCAACAGTAAGTTGAAAAAGACAGCAATAAAAAGAAGAATCGAGGGCGCGTTTCAATACATTAGGTTGAAATTGTCCGACAAAATCCAACCTTTCACTTTCGCGTAGTGTCGGGCGCGCAACGTCAATTTGACGGCTAAGAAGGGCTCTGGTGAAGCGCTCCAGGACTGGTCATCCGAAGCGTATTTTGTATTGACTCCGAAAACAACAATGTTGCCGCCTTCAAACCTCGATTGTGCGCAGCCGAGCGATGATGACAGGTGAAATAATAAAACTTTTTTGAGTAATCATGTGTGATGCCTTATTATTCACATATTACCGATTAATAAATTAAATAAATTGACATGTTTAACTGTCAGACTCGTTAAACTTCTTTTAACGTATTACAATGTGCGTTAGATCCCTGAAATTATTCAATAAAAAGTATGTTCTTCATACGAATGTACTACTTCAGATCTCTTATTTCTTTCGTACACAAGTGGAAAAAATGTCATAAATAATGAAAAAGTAAAATGCATATAGAAAACGGAAGGCAAAGCTTAATTTGAACAATTATCATTACCTATTTTTTTCTCCAGGATATAATTAATTGTGAATTTTTCCTTCTTCTAGTATATCAGAATATCGCATGCCATGTAGTTAATTGAAAATAAACTTGTGAAGGATCAATTATTATCTCGTGTTACACGCATTTATAGTACACTCTAGATATGTTATTGTCGTCATTAGTATATTTTAGTGTGTTAATCATTGGAGAAACACACAAATATTATTAATGTTAAAATTATTAGTCGCTAAAACAAAAAACATCATTATTATCAGTATAAACACAAATTCTTCTACAACGAATAATCGTTCCAATTTAGTTAAACAAATATCTAATATTGCTGACAATTATTATCCAGTGTTATCAGCGTTAATATGAGTATTATCGTAAAAAGTTTTTTTGTAACATGTTCAACTCTGATATTTATTGGAACATTGGTCTTAAATTTTTTAGCAATTGTTTATATATTATCGGCAAGAGATCGAACATCCATTGCAATGTTAGTAGTGAATTTAGCAGTGGCTGATATTATTCATGCAGGCAAGTATAAATAGAAAACACAGTAAATCCACTTTTTAACCGAAATTTTCATTTTATTATCAAGTTCTTAGCTAGTGATATGGGTTGAGTTTTCCAAAAAACAACAGTTGATTGTGCCTTATCAAAGCTAGTTTATCTAGCTTATTTATCTTCAATTAATCTATTTTAGTGGGTGTCATATTCTTTGGAAGTCAAATGATCACTCGTGATTGGATTTTTAATGAATTTGGTTGTAAATTTGCCATAACAATCGATATTCTATGTACAGTAGTACGTAATTAGCAATAAAAAGAAAATTTGCTCTCTATCAATCTTTGTCATCTATTTATGTTTAGGTTATTGTCTATACAGTTGCTGCACTGAGCGTTGAACGTTACATTGATGCCAAATTATCTTTAACAGTCAATAATAAATTTCGTACTATCATTACTATCACTTGTATTCTACTTATCTGGACATTGGGATTACTAATGCCATTACCGTATATAATTCATACCTATTTACATAGATCAACGAACAATAATACTGGACATCGATCGTGTGATTCAAAATTAACTGAAAAATTTCTTTTAATTCATGAAATTATATTGTACATATTTGCCTTTGTTATTCCCTATTCGATTATAGTCATATTCTCATTGAAACTATTAAAATTTCTTCGTGAATGGTTGAAACGTAAACAAAAACTGACACGTGCCAGTATTACGCGAAAACGTACGAGAGGTGTGAAGTTGGTATTGTGCATTGTTCTCTCATTTCTTATTTGTTATTCACCGTTTTGGATATTTAAATTTTTGACAAGATTTCTTATAGATGAAACTGTCCAACGTCGGCCTTTATTAACAAGAATACTCCAATATACACATCAGTTTGTTATTGTTGTTAATCATTTTGAAGGTATTCTAAATCCACTATTTTTCATTGTACTCACTGAACGATTTTGTTTGACATTTTCACAACATCGACGTAAACGATTTCAAAATGGTAATAAAGATAAAAACAATATTAATCAATCATATGCGGATCGAATGCAATCCTATGGAGTCAATTCAATAATGAATAAGGGTGGTGGTGCAAATATGAAATCTACATTACAACAACGAAATGGCAATACAAGACCGGTCGCACATTTTATAAAACAAGAAGAAGAAAATGATAAACATATTCTTCTGGCATCTGCGACAAGTATGAATACAGAACAAACACTGAGTACAACACCGAGAAGCACTCTTGTAGGATACAGCACTAGTTTAAATACCTAATTTATATACCACAATACGAGTTTATAATTGATAATACAAAATATAATTTTATTTTTTTTGTCTTTTATTGTAAAGCTAGATAATTATGATTTTTATAGAAGAGAAGACCATACGTAAATAAAGAATGTAGTAATAATAATAAAACTTTAAGGATATCCTCCCACAAACCACCCACTCACACCCATTCCCTCCGTTAACCATCTTCAACCCAAAACCAGAAATTTTTTTAATTTAATTTATGTATTTTCAAGTCTCGTCTTTCTGGTGAAACTACTGTCGATTTCAAAATACAGTACAGTCGGTTGTTTGTTGAATAACTCCGTAACGCTGATAGCTATCGAGTTTAGGTGTTCAGCGTTAGAAAGAGGATGGATGAGGGTGTCTGTTCACCTCAGAGCCAAAATCCTTTAGAGGTTTTCTAGGAGTTTTCTGGAAAACCATTGACTAGTTCCTTTCATTAAGTATGTTTTAAATTTCAATTTAGCCATATTGTAGTCTAATGCCTACTCTACGCTTCTACCCAAGGCCGATCTCTCTATCTCTTATGGTCCTCGGATGGTAGACATTTTCCTGACACATACGTATTTGTTAACATTACGTCTGGCAACCTCAGAGATAAGTGGAAACATAGGTTATCGACCACGTTGAGTCTCGTGGCACTGTTTGTTTTTAGAAGAAAGTTCAAGAACCCAGTGAAAACCTATTTTAGATCAAATAATCCATGTTGAATTATTTTCAGGTAAAATCAAAAAAACTCATAATTCTCTCAAAATCGCTTCAAACTACTTCAGAATGTCAACATGTACTCTCTTTTATCTGCTCCACCTCATTCTCTACTAAACGTAGTTCAGAAGATTTGTAGTGAGCTTTCCCAAAAACTGAGATGTTTTCTATTAATTTTTAAAACTTTTCTGAGGTTGCATGATATAGTCCAGATAAAAGAGAGTACATGTTGACATTCTGAAGTAGTTTGAAGCGATTTTGAGAGAATTATGAGTTTTTTGATTTTACCTGAAAATAATTCAACATGGATTATTT